TAGCTCCAGATGTACTTTGGAGAAGAGCTATTTGGCATGACAGAATTAAGACATTAAAATCAAATGTGTGTATTTATATTTGATATGCACAAGCACAGAGAACTGACTGGCAAACAGTAATCACTCTTAGTGATAGGAAAGGTCTTAACTCTTGCTAAAAGGTCTTCCAACTATTGCTTGGGAAAACGCTACCTGTTGCTGGCCTCTCTAACTTTCCTTTGAAAACAAAGCAGATTTGATCTCTTTGTGCTAAGGCCTTCGAGCAGATGAAGGGAGACAAGCTTCGCTGATCAGTGAAACACACGAGTTGGGCACTAAGGACACTGACTGTCACAGCTTATGCTGCCAGACTCCCCTGCTACAGACTTTTGGGTGGCATCAACCTTTTGAAGGACTTCAGCAGAGGTGGATGAGCTCTGTTTGCTCCTAGGGAGTTTCTTGGAAGAATGGATCAAAAAAAACCTGCACGATCAAAACCTAATAGTGGGCTGCAGCATCACTGAAGCATTCAGAAGACATGGGCGTAACAGACGCAACTTGTGCTTTCAGGGAAGATGACAGAATAGTTGTCTGAAACAGTCCAGACAAAATGCTGGTTGGCAAAGGGTCAAACCTGGGAAAGGAATAGTAGAAACACCAGAAGCCGGAAAGCCGTGTTACATTGGACTGCAGGGGGTCCTGCTCTGCAAACAAATCTGTGCAAGGCTAGCATGTTGCTATTTTCCCCTCGTTCAAGTATACATTACTAGTTCGCTATATTTTTTAAACCTCCATGTTGTGCCACAGAATCTTTCAGTGTTTGAATTTCTGACACCAGAATCAGACAGGAGTATTCTGTGTTCTCATCAAGTGAAAAGGCTTTGAAGAAAAGTAAGGTCCTACGTGGAAAATTCAGGAAGTTAATGAGAATCACAAATAGGTACATTTATCATTTGCACAATGAAGTTCAAAAACACACTTGTGCTTTACATACCTCCATAGACATCATCCATGCAGATAATCGTATCCCCTGCTTTTAACAGGTGAGTAATATTCAAAGTAGCAGCTAAGCCAGAGGCATAAGCTAAACCTAAAACAGAAAAGAATAAATGGCAGACAGACTGTATTTTAACATGATACAACCTTGTCAAACTTGCCTTCGCTTTCCTCACTTTGCTTTTAAAAGGAACCTGTTCTGTCACTCTCAGTTATGCTATCTTGTTAAGTTGATTCAGTAAAAGCAGCAGCCTGATTTTACACAGGGTGGAACCCAGGATGAACACTGGTAACACAGTCTGGTAACAACTGCTGCGGGGCTCCCGCTCCCCAATGCATTCAGCGCTGCTGCACAAGGATGGATTCAGTTTAGCTTAAGCATCAAAGGCAGCAAGAGGAAGCAAAGTCACTACATGAAGTCCAATGATTGAGCTGGACTTTCCTGAACAATAAGCTCTTTTCACACCATGAAACAGCTCTTGCCCATAACCAGTAGTCAGCAGCTGTGAAAGCCTTGCTGTCATACAACTGCTGCTGACAACTCAGTGTCCTTGCTCCCCAAGTAATGCCTACTGTAGACACTGTCAGGAGGCACACACACTGACATCTTGCTTGAGGAACCTATTAATTGCTTACAGTATTTAGCTCCATCTAGCGCTGCCACAGCCTTCTCCAGGCAATTCCGGGTAGGGTTTCCACTCCGGCTGTATTCATAACCCTATTGTGAAAGCAAGAAAAAAATACAACTTGAGAGAGCACTGAGAAAGTTTTGTACAATAATAGTCCTAGGTTCCTTAAAAAGTCCTCACTCTCAACACTGAGGTTACACATCCACCTCTGCCAAGAACAGCAGGCTGGTTTTCTGGCTACGTCAAGCTGCTGTACACAACACTCCATTGGGTGTCCCCAACGTGAAAATAGTTTCTGGGGATGCACTGGGGGAAGTATTGTACTGCTAGCCACTCCTACTTTTTCCTAGATATCCATCTCCAGTCACTGTTGGAGAAAAGGTCTTGGTGTGACACAGTCCACTCATTCTTATGTTATCAGCAAGAATGTGTCCCATCTATCTCCACGATGCTCTGCTTGAAAGATGGGCAAGTGCCAACCTGTACCCATCAAAACTTCTTGAAAGCTCAAACATTTCCCTGGCATGCAATCAGGCCAAGTTCCACACTTCAGTGCAACAGCTTTTATGTGAATACTGAGAAAATTTAACAAGAAAAAAAATACTCATGCATGCATGGATGCACTTGTTACAGAGAGAACCTGGCTAAGCATCCTGGTATTTGCGTACTTTCAGGATTTCTGCTTAATGACAACCTCATCATATTCAGGAATCTGGCAGACCGCTCTCACGGAGCTTCCGGCAAGAACGTGGCCACTCTATCATCAGTACATGAACGCAGCAGCATGTGACTCCTTCTTCTGTGGTCTTCAACACAGCTACCTACTTACAAGCATTCACAATTTTAGTCTGTGTAAGTGATTTTGCGTGGAATCAAAGATCACAAGGCAAATTCCTATTGCCCAACCGGCACATTGTGATGTTCAAACCTCAGGTTTGGGACAAATACCGATTTATGAGTTGCAAATTTGTGTTATTTCCCTCATACACACATGGCAGCAATCCGAAACTTCATGATAGTTCAACGCAAACACTTTCCAGTACTTTCTACAACACATCCACAAAATACTTGTGTAATATTCATTTGGTCTGGAAGGACAACTGAAGCAGCCTGTTACGCAGTCTGTGTAAGTGAGAAAATGTATTCTGCTTGGGCTCAGTGGCAAAGTGAAAGCACTGTTATCACGCAGTCTTCAAGAAGGTCCCCAGCTGCATGCAAACCCCCCGACCAAGGCGCGAACCTTCCCGCGGTCAGCAGCTTCCTGCACCCAACGCCCATGCACGCCTCAGAGCGGAGGATGCCGAGCCCAAAGCGCACTGGATGCTCCCCTTCGTGGGGCTTTCACATGGAAAATCACCCTAAACGTGCCTTCCAGCCCACCGCGGGAGAACCCCTCTCTTCCAGTGGGAAAAAGACGTTTGGTCATTTTTTTTTTTTTTC